CTGAAAAGTTCACCATGGGCAGAAATCCTTTATACGCGGGTACTGTACTCATTGAGCTCTACAAAATAACAAATACCCGATTCGAAACGGAGACTCACACTTGGGGACCTTCCCTCGTGAGCTAATTCTTCTCGTTTTTTTATGTTGTGTTTACGAAAATATTCAGCTGTTATCGGAAAAGTCTCTGCCAAGTTAAAGACGACAGCTTCTTTTTTTTTGAGTCACTTTTTGCCAGCCAGACTTCTTCCAACTGTTTGTCAAATTTTTGAATCCTTTCACTTTTGAAAACTGTCAAGAGTTCTGAAACGACTATCCAATTCCGATTAGAAAATCTTCTTGAAAGTTTCAAAGTTACGATTCGATCGAATCCAGATCTGAAACTGTTAGACATGACTTTCTACAAAGTTTCAAGTCGAAATTCAAAAATGAGTTTGCCTGAAGAAACCACGGTACTGTTCTAAAAGTTACCGTAAGTGATAAGCGAATAATCCGGACTCCAAAACAATTCGACACTTGACAGTATTCTCTCGTAAGTTATTTTTTATTAACACAAATAGAAAAAAATCCCATGATAAACTGAATATAAAACTTTTGAAAATAATTTCGATCACTTTCAGATATTACTGAAGACAAAATCATAGACGTTTCTCATCTTCGAATTTTTTTTCTAAATATATAACAATATTAAAAATACAAACCAAATGCAAAACCAACTATTGGTTTAGTACGATTATTTGGCATATCAATAATAGATACAGCTAGATTATTTTCAATAAAATTTTGATCTGATTGATTTAATTTTAAATTTTGTGAAAATTTTTCTAATGATGATAATAATCTAGAATATATTTTAATCATTATTATTTGAAAAGATTAGCAAAAACAAAAAATATATATCAATTTACTTTACAATACTTCGATTTGATTTTTGTGCTTCTTGCATTTCTTTTATAGATTTTGATGCTAATAATTTATCAGCAATTGAATAAATATTAGAATATACCTATAGTTTTATATTTAAGAAATAAATCTATTTATATATTGAAATAAAACAAACTTCATTATTCGTATTTTTATTATTGGATATTAAATGATCTATTATATTTACAACTGAAGCAATATGTGATGTTGATTTAAAACTTATTGTTTCTTGATTTAAATAAGACAATACATGAGAAGCATCATGGAAAGTATCCATAGGTAGCTAAAAATTAAAGAAAAAAAATGTTTCAAAACTCGTTAAATTATACTTATTGAAAAAAAAAAATACATACTTTAGCGACTTCTTCAATAGACATATTACCATATGGATGATTAATAGAAGATAATGGTAAAAGAATATTTGCAATTGTAGTTTGTTCTTTCTTATCAGGTGGTTTTAAACAAGTACTAAAGTAGGGTTCATCTCCCCATGATGAATTTGGATAACATGGTAGATATACATATGGACGGCCAGTATCTTTTAAAATTAAAATAAACAAAAAAATATATCATTGTTTTATTTAAGAAAACTTACAAGGACATGTTTCTAATGATCCAATATTACCAACAGATGAATCAATAAAATTATATGGTGCTTTTATTGTATTATTAAAAAATTCGAATGTTGCTCGTGGACATCCACCTAAAAAACAAAACAAAAATTACTATTTATCGAAATATATAACGATTGAGATCATTTTTTTCAATAATTAACACCAGACATATAACTAGGAGTGCACCTCATACCCTTCTCTTACTGCTTAAATTATTTCGAAAAAATCGATCCTATGAATCGCTCGAAAAAGGTGGTCATAGTACAATAGTTATTTTCATTTCGAAAATAATTCATTCTTACCATCTGAACGATGAATCTCCATTATAGCAACTAGTATAAACCATACGATACGTTCCATTTTTATAAGAATATATTCTCGTTCATAGATATAATAATTTTACAATCTAAAACAAAAAATTTATTCATTTTTACACATTCATATTTCTTTCAAAGCATCAAATACAAAAGTTTAACTCACAACTGCCTACTTGACTTTTTCATCGATACATACACACACACATCAAAACTGACATATAGCGTCTGTATTTTTTTTTCTCTTCTAATATCCGTTCATTCATTCATTCATTCATACAAACTTTTAATCAATTGACACCGTCATCAAATGTGCGAATGAATGAATGAATAAGAAAGAAAAGGTATATCCATTTCACATCGAAGCGCAAAAGTTAAATTAGACGTGTAAATAGAAATAGACCGTATAATGTCAACGAATCTACGGAACAAACAAAACCATTCTATTCGGATTAACACTATTATATTGTAATGAATTCAATTTTTATTTCACTTTAGAACAATAAAAATAATATTACATACCTGTGTATATATGAAATATTTAAATAACTCTAAATAGAATGATTATATTATCAGAAGTTTTCATCAATAAACAAAATAATAATTAGTCAATTCGGCTTCTTCTTTTTTTTTTTTTTCATTTGATGGACAACTTGAATGTGTTTCAGATGTTGTACTATACAACCGTTCATTTTGTTGCTCTCTCAACGGGTCAAATCACACATACATGCGATATGTATGACAAGAAAATTATAAGTGGTATACCCTTGTCAGCTTAAGAAAATAGATGGAGGTCAACACTATACATTACACCTGCCGTCTTCGTCCTCATCTCAAACAATCAAGCTTATCTTAATCAAGCAAACTCGATCTCGTTTTTTTTTCTCTCCTTGCTTATGCACACTCTCGATTGCGATTACATATTGATACATGTATAAAGATGGTGTGAAGCCCTTATATTCCCTACCCACATCGTAATGTTCACTAAGAATAAAAAAAAAAGGGGGGATTTAGATATAGTGATGTATTTGTTTAAACTACACTAAAATAAATGAATGAACAATTAAAAAAAAAAAAGCATAGATTTGTTCGTTTATGCGTAGGAAGTCAAATACTATCTATTTCTATTTAATCCTTCTTACAGAATAAGACGACTGTTTCATCATCATCATCATATGCGTTATATAAATATCAGGTTCTTTTTTTTTTTCTGTTTTATCAAGTGCCAACATGTTCGTTTAGATGAGAAGAATGTATATCTTGAATAGTTTGTTTTGATATATAGAAGAAGAACGAGTAAAAAAGCGAAGAAGGATATATACATATTTCAATTTGTTATGATGATGGTACGTTATATACATATGCATAATAGGGAAATTAGTTCAATGAACGATAACGCTTTGACACGAACGAGACGATATACATTTATATTCGAAAGTTATGTAAATGTTTAAAGACAGAATATGGCGACAAACGATCACTATCTTTACGCTATTTGATTTTTTTGCACCGATAGGTCAAGTATGTATTCATCTGGTGCCTTTAACAATGGTTATTCATTTCTTTTTGATCGACAAACAGAACAATAACAATGATCAATTTTGATTCGATCTTTTTTTTTTTTTGTATAATATTAAATAAAATTCTCAATCATTTTTTCTTGAAAAAGAGAAGCCGTTCTATATGATTCTTTTTCTTTTGTATTCGAATAGTAAGTTTCTTCATATTTTTATTAGAAAAAAAAAAAAAAAAAAAGAGTTTGATTCTATTTACATTTGCAGAGATCATTTAAATTTATCAGATTGAATTCTCAAAGATAAATAAATTTTGCATAAAAATTATTCAATCAGAAAATTTCAACATTCATGTATTCCTATTAAGACAAAACGCATCAGTAATCAAATTGATTTCACCATCGATTGAACTTGAGAGATTTTTTTTTTTCATAAATTTCTATCAATTGAGTAATGAAAAGGTTCAATATTTAATATATTTTATTGATATCAATATCATGTGCTGGATTTAATTGAAATATAAGACGAACATTAATCATCTGCTAGAATTAAACTAAAAGAAATTTTAGTCTATTTGATATATATATTTTAATGAATCTTTGATTGAACGAAAGTTTTCATTTATTTTTTATTCATTATTAAAGTTATTGTTATTTTCAATAGTCGAATAAATTATCTTTTCTCCATAATGGAATAAAATCTTTTTCATTAAGAATAAGTGAAGTTTTTGCTTCTTCAACTAAATCATCAACAAGTATTTGATGATGTCGATTATTCATATAAATATCTGTTGAGAATATAATTTGATCAAGAATTATTTTAACAAGTGCTGAAAAAACGAAGAATAGTTTCTTTATAACCATATCGATATACCATATATTTCCATAATATTTCAATATATACATTTTGACTACCAAGTAAACGAAATGTACCTATAAGAAGAGTATCATTATTCATATATGGATCATAATTGATTGTGTAACAATTTGTAGAAAAAGCAAAAACCATATGAATAATTTTAATAAGTGTTGAATCAAAATCAAATCTCCTAGTAATTCGTTTTGCTTGACGAACAATTTCATTTCCATATAAAGGTAAAATAATACTTTCATTTCTCATATTATCGAATATTCCGGCATCACGTAACATTAATATACTATAAAGATTAAATAGACCATGTAAATTACGTTGAAAAAGTGAACGTTGTTCAGCTACAGTCAATACACGAAAATCATCTGTAACTAGGAATGCAACGGTGACGATCATTCGCCGGTATACCGTCATCGTTTCACCGGTCCAAACCAATAACCGTAGGTACGGTTACCGGTCCAACTTCGATAATCGTACCTACGGTTACTTATTCAAGCGGTTTTCACGAAGGAAACGAATTTTTAAGAAAATAACGATTTTTTTTATAAAGGTTGACGAAAGTCACTCGGGTCTGAGAATCTGAATCTGAAATCAGTTTTTCGAAATTTCGAATTCCATTTTTGTTAGCTCTACGATTTGTATGGGGACTATACGATAGAGCTTATCACTATAACACTAATAGATCAATAGCTTACATATATTGAACACTATGTAGCCGTGGGTGTATAAGTGATTGAAGGATATAGATGACGTAATAATGAAATATATTTTCGAACAACAACCGAAAGAAAAACAAAATATACGTATATATAAATATACGATAGAGGAGGGGGGGATTGGCGGAGTGGCAATATGTTTGTTTCTCGAGAATCGGTATCATGTTCGAGTCTTTCCCCCCTACTGCACCAAGTTTTAAATAATTCTGTTCTGCTCTACACGTCTCAAAACTACTTGTTCGTCGATGGTCTATGCATTCTGCTCGCATACCAAAATGGTTCGACTTTGCAAACCATCGCACATGACTCATGTTATCTTTCTTCATAGTTTTATATGCTTTACGTTTGTGCTTTGCTTTAATTGCTTTTCATTCTTCATAAGTTACTTGTAATCAGCACAATGTCCCTTTAGGCCCTATCATGGGTAGGGGGTTAAATAAACCGCATGTAATCAATATACGATAGGGGAAACTTACTAAGGAGATTTAAATAATCTACATACACTTTGACGTACATACACTTTTTTCCATTGCATTAAAATGACACTAAGTCTCTGCTATAAAACAGAGGGCGTTCAATTCAAGTATATGTACATTTAAAGAACAGAAAATAAATGAAAGAGAAAAAACTTTCGATTCTTTTGAACTCAATTTGATTTGTATCAAGTCATTTAAAAAAAAGATTAAATCTGCAGAATAAAAAATATTTACTTCAGTTTATGTGAAATATTTTCATGAAAATATACAATCAATTTAATAGTGCCAGCAGGGTTGCCAGATCTTCTGAAGAAAAGGAAAAGTTTCTGAAATTTGAGCATTTTTCTGATTTTGGTACCTTCTTCTGTTGTTTCCGAATTTTGCACATTTTAAGATCGCAGCTTTGATAATGAAACTAAGTGCAATTGTAACTCATTAGAATAATAAGGATCCCTTACCCCTTCCATGATTCGTTCCATATTTGTTCATTACCTCCAACTTGTCTCTCAAATTATTGTCTCAATCCGTCCCCACACATCTGGGTTATTTTTAATTGAATCTCAATTGGCGGCTTTTCTAATTCTTCCCTAAATTATTACTAATTAGTAAAGTAAACTATCTAAAATATGAAACTTTGACATCATAAATATTTATTAGTGATGAAACTACAGGATGAAGAACTAGACAGCATTATAGCATACTATTCTTTTTTTAAATAACCGAGTCTTCACAGCTTGGTCTCATTTTACTACCAACTGAACATCATATAAAATGCCAAGAAAAACAAAGAGAAAAATGATCGAATGCTGTACGATCACTAAACAGTATCACTGGTGGATCCTGACTAAAGTAAATCGTAAATGAAAATTTTGAATTAAACATAAATTTGATTATCTATGAAGGAAGATGGAAGAAGGAACAAGTTGAGAATCAACTTAGAACGAACTATTTATGCAAGGAACGAATATGGAACAAGCCGGGAGTAAACCGAATAATAGATCAATTCTACGAAATCTTTTTTTCTATTAATCATTGGTAGTTTCTGAGTTACACGACTATCTAATAAATTGAAGCTGAATAAATTTCTTGTTTTAGTCCATTTCGATGGTTTTATCTTCTTTTATATAATCACATAAATAAATATTAATTTGATGAACGGCATAAATATGATTGAAAAACTTATATTATCTCAGGCACACTTGTTAAAGGAAATTCGAAGAAATGCAAAATATGAACAGTAATATCGAGATGATGCTATATAATCTTTTTTTTTCTTTGTTCGATCAACCATATACATGTGTTTTTTTTTTTGTACCTTTTTTTTGTGAAAACATTTCGAGTTGAGTGAAACAGTTTGACACTAACGAGGGAAGATCACCAACTGTTAAATCGCTTTTGAGTGGAGACTAGGCGCCTTAGGGAGACCCATATGAGCTATGGAAAACCTAATAAAAGTTCGGACAGTTAGCTTATTGCTACGGAGATACTGCACTTTTATGGTGTTATTTTTAATAAATGTCGTGGTTATGGATGCAACGGTGACGATCATTCACCGGTATACCGTCACCGGTCCAAACCGATAACCGTAGGTACGGTAACCGTACCTACGGTTGCTGATCCAAGCTGGTTTTCACGAAGGAAACGCCTTTTTAAGAAAAAAAACGATCTTTTTATAAAGGTTGACGAGAGTAAATCAGGGTCGGAGAATCCGAATCTGAAATCAGTTTTTCGAAATTTCGAGTTCCATTTTCAACATAAAACGTTTTCTTTAGGAAAAAAAGTCATTTCTCCCTGGAAAAAGGTTTCTAAGAAAAGCACGACTTTGAGAAAGATTTTTTTTTGCTGGGAAATCGAAACTCAAAATTTCGAAAAACTGATTTCAGATTCGGATTCTCCGACCTTGATTTGTTTTCGTCAACCTTTATGAAAAATCGTTTCCTTTGTGAAAACCGGCTTGGAGCAGTAACCGTTTCATCCGTAGCTGTAGCACTAACGAATGATTGTACCGACGTATAAAAAGAGGCAAATAGATTGAATGTATCGAATATATCAACTTCAAGTCGAGGTTCAACGAAATCAAAATATTTAATAAGTTCACATATTGATGGAACCGAATTGAATTTGTCAAAAGCATGAATTACATTTGATAATAAATTCCATTCAGAGTTATTGATCATTGTTTAGTAAATTTAATGAAGTGATTGGTAGAATTGACTAAAAAACGAATTTTGCTTTTCTTTTTATGATTAATATTATTTTTATGAATGCATGTTTTATTATAAAATGAAAAATTTCAGTCGTCTTACTTATCACATTAGAAAATTTCTCAAAAAAAAGATTTTAATAAATCAGTTTTTCTTCTAGAGTTATGTCCATTCGTCAAGAATTCTAACGTATAGACATGTACTGGGCAATGAATAGATATTATTTCGGACAAGAAAGGTTTAAAATCTAGTTTACAAGAAAAATTCCTATCTAAAATCTGAATAATATAAACTTCTTGGTTTGAAACTATTGAGGTTTTTTTTTCGCTGGAACAAAATGATAATATAAAGTTTAAATTTGAAAAGAGACCGGAGTAGAATGCAAGTTATTCCTATATTATTTTACACCAAAATTTTTTTTCTCTAAATTTAAAACATTTCAATTTCTAATTTAATGATATAACCATTAATGGATGATCAAGATGCACTTCTATATAAAAAAAATGGATAATTTAATTTGTGCATAAATTAAATAAAAAGTCCAGATAAACCCATGTCATCAAAATTGCACCACTTTTGGCGATCAATGGCAAATTGAGCAAAAAAGTCGTCAACTAATCGCGATTAGTCGCTGATTTTCTATTATACTTCAGTAATAATTATTTTTATATAAAAATAGATTTTTTCTTCTTCTTTTATTTAGCTCATTTGATTATCTCAAGGAACACTATTAAAACAACTTGTTTTTGTATTAGTCACTGTAGGTCGGGGAAAAAGAAAAGATCATCTCTCTTCTCATTCACGACAAGCATGTATGAGTACGCTGGTAAACAACAGTGGTATACACGTCGAGACATAGTCATAATTGTAGATCCAAGTATTATAACTAGGTCAACTCATCGGAAAGAATCACTAGTTTAGGTGATAAATCAGACTAATAACTCGCGATAAAATTATTAATTTCTATGCAATTTTGATGACATAAAAATTGACCTATCTAAAAATTATCTACCCCTTTTCACAATTAATGACAAGATTTTTTATACTAAAAATAGTACTGGTTTATCTGTCAGTTATAATATTAACATAAAAAGGCTTAGGCGAATAAATTTGATGGTGCAGAAAAACTAACATATTCATCATCGTTTATCTGTTGATTAACCAATAGTTGACAAAATCAAAGGTCATAGTTTTCAGATATCTTTTAATGACATTTTTCTAGTAGTATTCATCAATACTACTATCAAAAAATAACATAGAAAAAAAAGCTTACAATTGAAACGAAAGAAGATATAACAGTAATTCGTTTATCTCTTGTCTTTCTAATACATGGAACTTCTGTTAGGTTTTCTTTTAACAAGAAATTAAAGGAATCGTTTCATGCATAAATATTAAATTGACTTGAATAACTAAATCAATAGGAAAAAAAACTGTCAAAATCAATCGTTTTAAAGGAATACGTAAAAACCTCTGGAATGTAAACCTTATGACTTTTTGGAATATTTCGAAATTCATTACCTAAGATGCGATCGTGAAGAATATACTCTGAGATGATCTTATATCTTAACTATTCTGGTATCAACAGATCAAAATGATTATGGAAACTGAATAGTTTCTCTTTCGAAATTAGAACTTTGTCGATAGAAAAATCTTTACATTTGTAAAACTTTATTGTCAATTTTATTTGCAAATATAACTGTAGAAAAAAAAAATACAGAGTCAAAATTTAATTTGCAGCTGTTGTTTTGCCAATTTCAACATCCATTGGCATAGAATTTTCATCTTGTTTATCGACTAATCGTGTTATGACGGCTTCAATACCATTTTCTTGAAATTCAACTTGTAATGGTTCGAGATTATTATCGAATGAAGCTGAAGAACCTGTTGATAATAAACCAAGTAAATTATCAATTTTAGTTAAATCAGGTCGTTCACGATTGAATTTGAACTACAAAAAAAATAAATTATTCAATAAAAGAAAAGAAAAACAAATATTTTAT